TAGCACCGCAGCACTGCACGGCAACGAAAAGTTGCCCCTAGTCTAAATAGCGCCACAGCACGTGGCAACCAGTCCTCACAGTGACAATTAAGGTTGGCCCTTCAGATACAGAGAAGACAAAGATGACCAGAACCATCGCATGGACACAATTCGATTTGGAAGTGTTTATGGCTGGACTTCAGAATGAAGTTGCCTACGTATCCCAAAGATGGGAATCAAGCCTTACGTAGTTCGGGGTTAAGGTACACTCGGGTATTTAACCTCTCCTTTTTATGCTCTAACTTTTGCCAAGGCGCCTGTTGCGGGTTTTCGACCTTGCGAGCTTTGTTTTTCTTTTCTTTTCAATTTTTGTGTTCTTTTCTTTTCTTTTCATTTCTTTTGATTTTCTTTTTTTTTTTGTTCTTTTCTTTGCATCTTTCTTTTTTGTTTTTTTGTTCTTTTCTCTTTTTTGTTCTTTTTCTTCTTTTCTTGCTCTAACTTTTGCCTAGGCCACCATTTCGGGTTTTCGGCCCAGCGAGCCTCTCAAGGGTAAAAGTATAGCTTCGTCCATGTCAAATGGTTTTGGGATCCTGAAGTCATCTGAATCCAGGAGAATGGCTGCTGTTCGCTGGTGATGTTGGAGTCCATCCAATGGGGGCTGAATTTGCTCCTAGTGTTGTGGATAGGAACTCAGTTGTTCTTCAGCAGTGTCTTCTTCCTTCCTTCCTTCTGGGATTTGGCATTCTTGCCGATCTTCATTGACTTGCGGAATGATCCACCTTTGGCTCTTCGAGCTGTCTGATATATTTTTTTTTTTGCCCCTAGTTCGAAGGGTGCTTCTAACCTAGCTTCGCAAGCTTCTTTTGATGATATTTGGTCTTTTTTATCTGACTTCCTTGCCTCTTGTTCGAGGGCTGCTTTGAATCTGGCCACACAGGCCTCACATTGTAGTTGACCGTCGAACGTTCTAAATTCGAGTTCAAGGTTTTGAAAGCAGAGGGGTCAAGTCTCGAGGCTGAGAGCGATCCTAAACTGCACAATCTCAAGAGCGATTCTACACAGGTCTTCACATGTGATACCCCTGTTCTGTATTATGCTAAATTGGTCCTTAATTTGTTTATGGTTATGTGTTTAACATGATTTTGTGTGCCATTATGTGATAATATGTGATTTTGAATTCGTATCTGTTCACCGTAGGAATATCTATTTAAATAATCCGCTTCAGGAATTAAATTGAGGGCCTTATCGGCCATAGAACCCGAAATTGATTACGCCACTGTGATTGGCATAATTTTTAGAGCCTACGGTGAAATTTAATTGAAAATTGATCCTGGTCAATTTAAACTGATTAAATTGATAAATTAAGTGCCAATTGTTTTATTATAAAATAATGTTGAGTGGGTGCTTATTAAGGGTCAACTACATCCTCATTTCTCTCCTTTAAGTTTCATTTGGCTGATGAAAAACTCTTAGAATTGAGAGAGGGCCGGCTAAGAGAGAGAGGGTGAAGGAAATTGAGATTTTGCTCCTAAAGCTTGGTGATCTTGGAGGCTAGCTCAAGAACTTACCTTAAATTGTAAGGATTAAGCTTCTAGGTAAGCCATTGACTCTTGAATTCATGAATTGAATGTGTAATCTTGTGAGCTCAAGTATTTTTCTTGGGATTAAGAGTATGATTTAAATTGGTCTTGATGAGATATGACCATGCATGCATAAAACTTCTGTTGAATTGCCATAAGTTGCATAATCTGGCATGTATCAAGTCAATTAAGCAAAAATTGAAGTTTGATCATGCATGCAAGCTTGGTTTTGTTGAGTTTTGGCACCATTTGCATCTTTGAAATGGAAATGAAGTCAAGATGGACCTTTTTGACTCTGAAAGGCGACAAAGAGCTCAGTATGGGTATAGAAATTCAAAACTGGCTTGCAGTTTTATGTGCCATTTCTCTTTTCTACTTGTCCCTCATGGCAAATGAGCTCCATAATTTTGGAAAATTTCTGTAACAGATTCTAATTTTATTAAAATGTCAATTCCAGCTATATTAATAAGGTTAATTAGCCGCTTGTGTTTCTTACTGGAGTGTTTTTTTTTGGTCTCACAGTTAATTTCCCTGTGAAGAATTTGGAGCTGAAAGATTACATTCCTTTGCCAACACCCAAAGAGAACGAGAAATTGCGTTCAAAATATGATTTGATTGCAAATATTGTTCATGATGGCAAGCCAGGTGAAGGATCCTACAGGGTATTTGTACAGCGGAAATCAGAAGAGCTATGGTAGTGCAGCCCTAGGGGTCCGCTCGAGCGGGGAAGTCCACGCTCGAGCGGGGACCCTATTTTCTGAATTCCTGTTTTTGCATTTGTGTTCCGTCTTCCGTTCTCTTTCACTTGCAAGCACTCTTAGGCATATGTTAAGCATTATAAATGAGTTAATGAGGTAATAATAAAGCCTAAAGAGGAATATGTGAATTAAAGAATGGATTGAACTGTTAGTGACCCTTTTGTATTCATGAAATGTGTAGGGTCAAGCTCCAGGGCAAATCCACAAGCTGATCACTGTGAGTAATATCGATATTTGAATGCTTGTGAATGTCCAATTGTTTACTCCCTTTTAAGCTTTATGAATTGCTAATTGGGATTGTGGACGTAAGTTTGATATGAATGCATAAATGGACCCAAGGTCGTTTCGATAAGCATAAATAGACCCAAGGTCGTTTTGATGAACATGAATGGGCCAAAGGCCGTTTTGAAATGAATGAGTGGGCCGAAGGCCGTTTTGAAATGAATGAGTGGGCCAAAGGCCGTTTTGAAATGAATGATTGGGCCAAAGGCCGTTTTGATATAATCAACTGGGCCGAAGGCCGTTTTGTAATGAATGTAAAGTTGAATGAGCAAAAGGCCAGTGTGTGCGGGATTATGGTTGCTTGATTTAAATTACCCTTATATATGTTAACTATAGATATGAATTGGGCCCTAGGCCGTTTGGAAAACGTTGTTCTACGTCTTGTCGTTTAAATGCTGTAATTGATATTATTCACTGGGCTATCACTCACGCTCATTCATGTTTTTGTAGGTGAGCCAAGAGAGGTCCAGACCCAACCTCAGTGAAGCCTGTGTAGAACAACCCAGATTTTGGGGAGTCAGCCCTCGTGTCTCACGCAAGAGACCTGTCTTTGCCTTTTGTTATCTATTTTATGTTGTCATGATGGCGAAGACTTTGTGTAATTCTGTACATAGTTTTGATGGGTTGACTTGGACTTATATGATCCTGTTTATACAGAACTCATGCTACTATTTTACTATTGTGAGTTATTAATGCCTATGTATATGGTTGTTTTGACGTGCCATGTAAGCACAACTCTGTGGACAAAGTTTTAAATTTTTTTACTTCCGTTTGGCCCCCATTAACTCTGTTAAAATACGTTTGGATCAGTTACAGGCCATAGGTAATCTCATGATTACTGGCCGGTTACGTCCTTAACCCAGGGGGGCGGGTTAGGGTCGTGACAGAGTGGTATTAGAGCACGAGTTAATAACTCACACACTTGTCCAAAAAGAGCAATTAGCATCTAGATAAGACCTAGGATGCATTCATGTGATAAATTTGAATATGGAAGCATTAGTTATGTGTTTAATTGTCTTCATGTGAACAATTATATGTTGTAAATTGTGAACTACTTGCATTGCGAATTATTTGGAGATGTATGCTCCTTGTTACATGCATACTTCTGTATATCTTGTATGAAAAATAATGTGAGTCTAATCAGATGGTGAGAACCCGAAGTGATGAGATAGAGGAATCTTCTACCGCCAGACTGGACAGAATGGAAAGAATGATTCATGAAATGGCCGAGGCCTTGAGACAGCAACAGGAGTGGCAACAACAGTGGCAGCAACCACACCCGCCACCTCCACCTGTGGCACCACCCGTGCCAGATAATCAAAATGATGATCGGATTATAACTCTCACAAGGAATTCAAGAAGATGAAACCACCACAGTTCCACGGGGGATTAGATCCTTTGAAAGCCGAAGCATGGGTCCTCGGCATCGAGAAGCTATTTGAAGTATTCCCCTGTTTAGAGACTCAGAAAGTGCTTCTAGCCACTTTTATGCTAGAAGATGAAGCAAGGAGATGGTGGATGTTGATGCGAGAAAATCAGAAGGATGTTGATTGGGTGAAATTCTTAGAAATATTCTATGACAAGTACTTCCCGCAGTGTGTTCGGGACAGGAAAGTGGCCGAATTCATGGAACTCAAGCAAGATAGCATGACAATGGCCGAGTATGAGGCCAAGTTCACTGAGTTGGCCAGGTTTGCACCACATGTGATTGACACAGACTATAAAAAAGCAAGACATTTCGAAGGTGGACTCCGCAGTGACATCCTAGAGAGGGTGAATGTCCTAAAGCTGGAGACCTACATTAGGGTGCTTGACAGGGCCATCATATCAGAGGCTAATATAGCTAGACAAGTTAAGCCAACAACAAAATGGAAGGGTAACAAAAGGCAAGGCTTCTTTTCGAAGAAGAAATTTCTGAAAAAGCAAAACACGGGCTCCTCCACTTCTTCAAATTCTTCCCGAGACACAGCTCCCATGTGCAATATCTGTAGCAAAAGGCACCGTGGGGTTTGTTACCGTGCGTCAGGAGGCTGTTTCAAGTGTGGGAAACAAGGGCACATAGCCCGAGAGTGCAATCAGAATGGTGGGAAACTAGCAGCTAGTTCAACTGCATCGGTTCCAAAGCCGGGAAATACTGTGAGATCCGCTATTACTGGAGATACAGTGAGACAGGGGAGAGTTTTTGCAC